GGTCCTATTTACGGTTTCAACAACCAACTAGTTCCAATTGAAGGGGTTTTTACTCTCAATGTGGCATTTGGGCGTAGCCAAAATTATTTCACCCCCTCAGTTCAGTTCTTCGTTGTTAAGATGGCATCTTCTTTTAATGTTGTAATTGGTCGGCCCATGCTAACAGAAATCCGAGCCATAGTTTCTCAATCACATTTGTGTATAAAGTTCTCCACACCCATGGGAATAGCGACATTGATAAGTAACCAGGAGATAGCTAGCCATTGTTATATCACCTAAATTATGCGACCCCAGAGGGAGAAAAATCAGATGTCAGAGCTTCCTCAAGAAGTTTCTACCAGACAACAGGTTATGGGAGTAGAGATACTTGACAATCGACCAGAAGATGAAACTCGAGCTGCTCCGGTTGAGGATGTTGAAGAAGTACAGATTGATGATAGAGATCCGAGTAGGAAAACCCAGATTGGGACCCATCTGAACCCATAAGAAGGAGTAGAATTGATAACTTTCCTCCGAGCTAACAAAGATGTTTTTGCTTGGACCTATGCAAACATGCCAAGAATCCTAACCTCTATATCTATGCATAAATTCAGCACAAATTCCTTGGAAAGGCTAGTTGCATAGAAACGACATCTCTTTGCGGGGGGGGACTCAGGGTGATTAAGGAAGAGGCAGAAAATCTCTTGCAAGCAAGCTTTATCAGAAGAGTTAACTATTGTGAATGGGTTACCAACCCAATGTTGGTGAAGAAAGCTAATGGCAAGTGGAGAAGGTGCATTGACTACACTAACCTTAATCAGGCTTGTCCTAAAGACTGTTATCCGATGCCAAACATTAACAAATTGGTCGAGGCAACTTTTGGAAATGAGAGATTGAGTTTGTTAGATGCATATTTCAGATACCACCAAGTCCCAATGGCCCCTGATGATGAAGAGAATACATCATTTTATGCAGGTAATGAAATTTACTGTTATGCCATGATGCCATTTGGCTTAAAGAATGCAGGTGCCACTTACCAAAAAATGGTAACTATCATGTTTCGAGCTCAGATTGATAGGAATTTGGAAGTTTATGTTGATGACATCGTGGTGAAGAGCTTGAAAGTTGAAGACCATTTAGCTAACCTAGATGAGACTTTCACCAATTTGAGGAAAAACAAGATGAGATTAAATCCAACAAAGTTTTTGGGTTTCATGGTTTCCAAAAGAGGGATCAAGGTCAACTCGGAGAAGATCAAAGCAATAGAAGAGATGGGACCTTTGAAGTCAATTAAAGATGTGCAGAGGTTGACTGGGAGAGTGGTAGCCCTTCATAGATTTGTTTCCAAGTCAGCTAACAAGTGCCTCCCATTTTTCAAGATCATGAGATCGGCAACTCAAAAAGATGAATCTAGCAAACAGAAAAAGTTCGAATGGGACCTAGAATGCCAAGCTGCATTTGATGAGCTTAAGTCCTATCTTAGCTCGCTGCATTTATTGACGAAAGCTATTGATGGGGAGATCCTTTGCTTGTACCTCAGAATCTCAGATGAATCAATCAGTTTTGTGTTAGTGAGAGAAAAGGGAAAGCGACAGAAACCAATCTATTATACAAGTAGAGTACTACATGGGGCAAAGCAAAGATATTCTATCGTTGAGAAAGCAACGTTAGTAGTTGTTACTTCAGCTAGAAAACTAAGGCTACATTTTCAGTCACACCCAATTGTTATCCTTACAAACCAACCTCTTCGGCAAATCTTACAGAAGCTAGAGTGCTTAGGCAGGTTAATCAAATGGGCAATCAAGTTGGGGGAATTTGAGATTACATTCCAACAAAGGTCAGGAATCCGAGCTCAAGCATTAGCAGACTTCATTGTTGAGTGCACCTCTAATTAGTCAAGTCCAAATCCTGAGCCAGATACATGGGTTCTATATGTTGATGGGGCTTTAAACAATAGATGGTCAGCAGCTGGAACAGTTCTAATGGGACCAGATGGCTATCGAAGTGAGCATGCTTTGAAATTTAATTTTGATGCAACTAATAATATGGCTGAATACGAAACTTTGCTACTCGAGCTCCAGCTGGTGTTAGAATTGAAAGTCAAAGCGATATAGATTTACAATGACGCACAGTTCGTGGTTAATCAAGTCAACTCAGTATGTAAGGTAGTCGATGCCACTCTGATGAAGTATGTAACCCTGGTGGCCGACCTAAAATGCAAATTTGAGAAATTCTGTTTAAGCAAAATACCTAGGATTGAAAATGAAAAGGCAGATTCACTCTCTAAATTTGCCTCTGACAGTTCCAGAAGTACAAGATCAGTTTTTGTTGAAGTTCTTGATGAGCCCAACTTCCAAAAGCTAAAGATGATGGAGATCAATACAGATTCGAACACACCAAGCTGGACAGACCCAATTAAGTCTTTCTTGCAAGATGGCTTAGTCCTTTAAGATAAGTAAGAAGAAATGAGGTTGAGGAAGAAGGCATCTCGGTATTCCTTAATTGATGGAGTCCTATATAAGAGGTCTTTTTCACTCCCTTTTCTCTGTTGCTTAAGCCCTTATGAAGCTGAATATGCACTTCAAGAGGTGCATGAAGGTGTTTGTGGAATTCATGTTGGTGCCCGAACCCTAGCTCATAAAGTCCTCAAGCAAGGATACTACTGACCCAATATGCAGAAGGAGGCCATTGATTTCGTGTATAAGTGCCCAAGGTGCCAATTTTTTGCGCATTTGACTCATCAACTGGCAAAGGAGCTTATAAACCTGGTGGCACCATGGCCATTTGCATAGTGGGGACTTGATCTCTTAGACCCATTTGTGAAAGGAGTTGGAAGAGTAACACACTTAATAGTTGGTGTGCATTACTTCACAAAATGGGTTAAAGCTTAGCCACTATCCAGTCTTGCCTCAAAAAAGGTTAAAGACTTCATTTTCAGTTTAATTATCTACAGATACAGGATCCTCAATCAAATTATTGCTGATAATGGAACTCAGTTTAACTGTACCTCATTTAGAGACTTTTGCTCTAGTTATGGAATCAAACTTTAATTTACCTCAATATACCACCCAGAGTCTAACGGACTGGTGGAATCAATTAACAGTTATTCTTGAAGGAATAAAACCGAGGTTGGACCAACTTAAGGCTAGGTGAGCAGACGAGCTCAATAATGTGCTATGGGCATATAGAACTACAAGCTAAACTACCACAACTTCCATTCTCGGACCTTATCTACTTCCATGTTCCTTTATTGTATTTCTTGTTGCTTCAATTTTAGTTAAAAAGCATACAAAATACATAAAGCATATACTAAAATGATAACTCCATCAAATAGGTGAAACACCATACCACATAGCCTTGGGTATTGAAGCACTCATTCCTATTGAGATAAGAGTCCTAAACTTCAAGGTCACCAATTTCGATGAAGGATGAAATGGACAACTGCTTCAATAAAACCTTGATTTGCTTGCCAAAGTCAAAGAGGAAGTCTGACTTCAAACTTTGTCAAACAAGTAGAAGTTAACCAACTTCTACAACAAACGAGTTCACCCTTGAACATTCCAAGTTGGCGACCTCATTCTTAGAAAAGCTAGTCTCACAAGATTTGAAACACGATTTGGAAAATTAGCCCCGAATTGGGAAGGTCTTTACACAGTGATTGAAGTACCACACCTAGGTGCTTATATTCTCCAAGACGCTGAAGGAAAAAGAGTTCTTAGAGTCTGGAATGTCAACAATCTTAAGAATTTGTACCCTTAATTCAATCTCTTCTGTGAATTTTGTCTAATTCTACTTCACTTTTTTTAATTATTCTGTCCAAGATGAATTTGTTGCTCAAATCAGCTTTTGAACTTATATTCCATTAATGGGAATTTCACTTCATATTCGAGGTGATTTAATTTCTTCACTTCAGCCCTTTTTTCACATAAACCAAGTGCACAAATATATCAATGAATTAATGTGTGAAAATTACAAGAATAGTCAAAACAAAACAAATACATTGTTCAAAGGTCAAAGCTAAAGAAAGAGATTAATAAGACAAAGGATAGCTACTCTATTGGTGGAGTTGGTTGGTTCACTTCTTCTTGGTTCCCTTCTTCCTCCGACACATTCTCTCCAACCTCCGCAACTCCAACCTCTGCCCCTTCCTCAATGGCAACGAACTCAAAATCGAAGTTCGAAGGAAAGATGATACGACCTTCATTATCGTGATCCCATTTCAACTTGACCTTGGGACAGAAGTCAGCCATCCTACTGTCACCATTCTCCTCCACTCCTTCTTATTGTCCAAAGGTGATACCAGTCACATCCACTTTGGGATACTGAGCTTTCACTTTCTTCCTACAGTCTATGAAGGCCAAAATTGCCATAGGAAGGTGGTAGAGATTCACAATGTTATTGAATGTGTTAGACTTCAGAAACTCAACAATGTGATCCTTCATTGAACTGTGCACTAGCAGATCCACATTTTTCTTTAACTCAGCACCTACCTCCTTCATTTTCTTGATCTCCTTCTCTTGAGCTTCTATCTTCTCCTCACATATTTTCCTCTTCTCCTCAATCGCGAGCTTCATCTTCAATGAATCATTTTCCTCCTGAAGCTGCATGAGCTCTAGCATAGCCTCTGCTAAATCCTTTTCTACCTCTTCCTTCTTCTTCCCCAAATCCTCATTTTCCTTTGCCAAGGTACCACGTTCCTTGAGGGTTTCAAAAAATTCCTACGATAGTCCATTCACCAAGTTTACAGCATGCAATATCCACAACAATTAGAAACTAAAAAAATAAGCAAATAGAAGAAGAAACTCTGGTTCTGAAACCCAGCCATACCTCAAGGACATGCTAAACACTCCCAACCCCACCATGACTTAGCACTTCCTCCCTCGCTCGGCGATGATCCACCTCAGGGACCATTGAGTTTATAAACCTCTTCGCAATCGTTATGCTCTTTGTGTCAAACAAACTGGCTTGCTATGAAGGAGCAGGAACAAGGTTTTCTTTTTTCTGCGAGTTATAACCCCAACCTCCCTGAGCTCTAGGTCGAGCTCAATTGGGGAAGGATGAGGTACGAACTCCACCATCTCGTCCCCTCTACCCTTATGTTCTTTCAACCTCATCCTCTTTTGAACAAGCCTAGCTTCCTCACTTCCCTTCTAGTTGAGCTTCGGCCTTGGCTCCTCAGCATTTGGAGCTCAGATTAAGGTACTAAAAGGTTGCCCCTTTTCTTTGCCTCCAACTTCCCCTTAACTAGCAGTAGCTGCATAAATCTTTGACTTCTTCTGTGGCTTTTTAGGGATAGCCAACCCCCCAACTGTAGAAAGGAACTTGTCTATCTCGACTGCAAAATTATAAAATGTTAAAACAACTATCAGGGCTTCACTTCAACTTGTATAATATAAAATAAAACACACCTTCACTCAAAGAGCTTTCTTCATAGAGCTCAGCCACCTCCACAACATCTAAGCTAGTGAGATACATGATGTCTACAACATCATCTCCCTCTTTCATCAACTTCTCTATCTCCTCCTCCTCATCCCTATTCAAACTATACTTATTCTAATTGGGTTTCTTTGCTTTCCGAATGGACAAGAATTCCACTTCTGCATCTCTCCTCCCCCACTTAGTGTCATCAACAAAAAAAATTTTTCCTTCCATCTTTTAATGGATGACGGCTTTGAACTAAATAAATTTCTCTTTTCCATATTGGACACTTGAGGGGTAAAGTAGTACCACCCTTTCTGCTTTTTACTCCCACCTTTTGTGACAAAGAAATATTTAAACATATTTACAATGGGCACTCTAACACCCTGGGTTCAGTAATAAACTAACAAACCTATCACTGCCCTTATTGCATTTGTGGCTAGTTGTGTAAAACCTATACTGTAATCCAACAATAACCCAACCAGGAGTTCAAGGATAGGAAACCTCAACCTTGCCGATAAATAATGGGAATACATGAGCATCCAATGATCCCGGGGTGCCGAGCATGCCCTCTCCTCCACTCCGGCCGGCCTAATCAACACTTGAGATGGGAGGTCATACATTTCAACTATGTGAATCAAGCTCTCCCTACTCAGCCATTCAGTCTTGTACCCCATTACTTTAGACATGATGTATGCTTCCATATCATAACACCTATCCCCCCCCCCACCCCC